AAAACTTAAAATTATAAACACATGTAAATTAGAGTAGATATGATTATGCAATTAAAATTTGAATGTCAAAATACAATTTAAATAATTACCTACCTATGTTAACCACTTATCGAACTGTTGTCATCTCATTATGAACACGATTAAAGTGCATCTAAGCGTAACATAGTAATAGTAACATTACTTATTTAGTTGGGTCATTCATTGTAAAACCAATTTAAGCAGACCCCGAGCTTGAATACAAAACTTTAACAAACTATCTTAATTGAAGGATCCCCATTAAATGGTAACACTTTGTACTGCGTGCATGTTGCAAGTTATTCTCAAAATGACAGAGGTGCTCGAGTTACGATTTCTAAAACATTTAATTTAGTAATAGTTTTTATTTGCAATGCCAAATGTAATGACTTTATATGCCATTATCAATAGAGCTGTAACAAGACTTAACATCTGACATTAACAAGTAAATTGTACGTTTTGATATTTAAAGGCATGACGGATTCGTTCATCATCATTAATGTCATGGTGTCTAATTATGCGCGTTTTCGCAAAATCCCTAGGATTTTGGCGAAAATTCTATTTATCAAATCACATATATATTGTTTGTTATTCTACTAGAGGCACTCGCCAATTCTCGGCTTGAGTTCCCCTTTGGATCTCGCCGTCCTCAAACTCGGTGACGCTGTCATCTGCGACCTACAGCAAACACACTCAAAAAAAAAGTTGCATTTCTAAAATTCGATTCGCACCCATGAGACTTGCGAGAGGCTAGGTGTGAGGTCTATTCGTTGGTGTTCCCCTTAAGGGCGCCAACGGTTGTAACTTATTTCTTGCGTAATAATAATAAAAAGGTATAGGAGCTCTTCTTTTTTTTAAACGAAATTTTGCCAGTGACTACTCTATTTCATATTCGAACACGCACATAAAGTTCGGAATCACAGACAATTATCGTGAATGAATGGAATGAGTTATGTTTGTGAGTTCAGTTTGTCTACACTTTTTAGACTACGTTTTTTACTTCAAAACAATATTACTTTATGACAATATTTTTGATTACATTAAAACAACCTCTTTTGACAGTGTTAGCCGACTAATTTATAGAGTTGATGCAATCGAATGTATGTCAACCTAAATTTGTCGTGTAGACTTTGAAGTATTGGCAATACAATAATAAACAAAAATTTTATTTATTTGTAAATTTTTCATACTAAAAAATGTTCCTCTAAGCAGCTTTAATTAAAAATACTGTAGTAGTAATTTTAGGTTTAATTTAAACAAAAATCCGAAAACGAAAATGAAAAGGTAACACTTTTCATTTCGTCAATTTGAGGTTATAATTTCGAACAATTATATGTCAAATTCAACTTTTCGTTTGAAAGTTTTGTGAATTAGAGTAGGCTTGGAGAATTAAATTGTCAAACTATTTTCGCACGAACGATTTTTCGAAATGAAATGGAAACAAAGTAGGAAACGTGCGAAATTTCGATCGGAATTTAGTATTTCGATGAAATAGAGTAGGCCTCCTGGTATAAGTTACTGGTCCATTTCCCACCATAAATTTCGGAAAATGCTTTGTCAGTTGTCAGAATGACCTTTAGTTAGTAACTTAACCTTCTGGTCTTTACCACCACTTAACATCAGGTGGAATATAGTCATTTTCTGTCGCTCTCAATAATGATATTTATGAATCTAGTTAATGATATTTATGAACATGAGTTTCATAAATATCATTAAGTAGGAGAACTGGTATTTTTATTTATTACACTAGTATAGATACCGGATGATAAAAAAGAAACAAAAAAAAATACCGCTTGATGGTCTGTTGCTAACAACGTGGCCAAGATGCGAAACGGAACGCAGACCATCCTTCGTTTTATTTAAGCGTTTGTAACAATTATATTATGAAACAAACAAAAGTACAACTATTACAGAGTAATTCATGATGTTTTTAAATAACAAGCCACGTATTTTGTAATTAGCAAGAAAGAGCGCAAAACGGCGTTAATACGATTAATAGTGTAAATAAAATGTCATCATCATCATCAGCCTATTGGGTGTGGGGAATATTCCCACTGCTGGGGCACAGGCCTTCCCTATGGAGGGAACAGGGAGATTGGGCCATGACCCGCCACGCGGGCCCAGTGCGGATTGGCAGGTGCTTACGACTGCAGATGCAGCCGGGACCAACGGTTTAACGTGCCTTCCGAAGCACGAAGGAACTCGAGATAGAAGATTTTTGGTCACCCATCCAATGACCGACCATTGCGAAAGTTGCTTAACTTCAACGATCGCAGCTAAACGCGCCACCTAACCAACACCAGCGCCATCGAGCTTCTCAAAAATAAAACGTTCGACACACAAATATATTATTTACATACGTGCAACAAATTACTCCACCCCACTTGATGTTAAGTGAAAGTGGAGTCCAGTCGCGAAGATAGAGGACCCCGAGGAGCCCTGGAACCCCAATCAGAAGAAACACAACACCACCAAAAGGTAGTGTTGTTTAACTGTCTTCTGTAAGGTAGAAGTTGCTTCCTCGGACAGGTGCTGCAATCCGAGCGGAAAATCTACTACCTCTCTTAAAATACGAGAGCTATGTTAAAAATATCGGTCCATTTCAAAAAAATATTAGCAATTGAAATTGAATAAAACATAACCTCCCATGCATTATATTCTGGCGATAAAAAGTGTATTGACAGAGGCCAACGATGTTATATAACTATACATACTTATATTTTTTTTAAATAAAGTTGCTTTTATTTATACGAATGTTACTGGACAAAGGTCTTTTGTTTTAAAAAATCCTTCATGTACCTGAAATTTGTGGAAAAAAACAATGTCATTAGTCTGTAGTTCATCATATTTTGTTTCTTCACTGCAATACCTTTCTGACTGTTCTGTACATAGAATGTGAGTCTTCAAAATAGAGTGAAAAGTTTTACAGGTTCGACAACCACCGATATCGATGTATTAGTTACGGGCTTATTTGACATCTCAATGGTTTAATAAAGACAAAGTCCATTTGACTTTGATTCGGTATCAAATAGTCATAACAATGGACTCTTTGCCATTCCGTAGTAAGGGATAAAGCGTTATGTTATCCATGTGTTTTTCGAGTTAAACAAACCTGCAATTTTTATATTATCCTGAATATACATCTTATTATATCCATACCAAATTTACATCAATTTCTTTACATCTACGTCTGTATGGGGAAATAAAAGTGTGTCTTTTTATTATTTTACACGCAATTCATATGGTTTTTCTCCCCATAAAAACCTTTTCGAACATATTATTAAAAATATTAGCCGGATTTTACCAGCCATTCTCGAGTCTTGTGCTCAGCAACATTCATATTTATTCATATAAATAGATTAAGTACCTATCAACTTTACGGAATTTATTATAAATTTTTCTATACTGTAATGGTATAAATAGTATAATGTCTTTAAAGTGATTCATATGTGCGACACAAGAAATGCATTCATTGCATGACAAAAAAAACAACTCAAATCTAGGTCAACACTATTCGTTCGCATTAAACACAACACTATGAGAACCACTGGTTCTCAGTTTGAATCATCCACCGAGTAAAAACTGTAATGAACCGATGTAATTGTGTTAACCTCTAAATATGGCGGTTGCATTGTGTGCTTCCAAATGTGTCGAAGGTCAATGGCGATGATTTTTATCGATAAGTCTAAAGTAACGACTGTGACATTATTATAATTTCGGTTTCATTTAATAAAGATAATGTTCTTGCACCATGATAAAGGGTGCCGTAGAGAAAATGTCAATATTTCTATTCATTAATAGAGTTAAAAAAAAATCAATCAACTTTTTATGTCGAAATCTTTTTAAGTTTGTACAAGAAACGTATTATTTGATATGTTAAAAATCTATGACACGCAATTTCAATATTTATCGCTTATTTTTAACCGACTTCAAGAAAGGAGAAGGTTCGTTGGAGTTTTTTTTTCACTTAAAAGTTAGCATTATCTATCATTCAAACCAATAGGAATGCCACTAGTCTAAGCCTCCTGGTCCATTTCCGTTACGAACTTCTTATTAGTGAGAAATGAAATCTTTCGATTTTTGTCTAGGAATACTATTACGTACATATTTATATTAAGTTCATTGGTGTATCTACTAACATAATAAATATGAAAGTTTTTATGTTTGTTGCTCGATAACGCAAAATTGTGATGAAATTTGGCACACATATAATACTTTTTGTCCCGAAAAATTTTAGGTTCCTGGTGCATTCTCAAAAAATAAAGTTAACGTGGACAAAGTCGTGGGCGGTAGCTGGTACAACATAAAATTTTATACAAAGTATACAAGCGACTAGAGTTGAGACGTTTTGTTTCTTATTCTATTCGATATAATGTGTCCCAACCTTAGTTCCTTTCTATCAATGTCGACACAAGATTCTGAAGTGGTCGATTTAACAAGAGATAATTTTAACGATTGACTAATGAACGATAGCGATCTTATTGCGAAACAGCAGATGAAGCGAAACTCTTTCAGAAAGCTTCAGTTTAATAACAGAATCATTTTTACCATTGTACCCAAAGGGTAAAAACGTAACCTAAAAAAACAATAAAGACAAAGAATATCCTTTCATCTTTCTCTCTCGGTCGCATGAAACCTTTTAATAAATAATAATAATAATAATAAATATTTCCAATACTCACAGCAATTAGCCTAACCCCAAAGATATTACTGTAAGTAAGGCTTGTGTTATGGGGTATTAGGGTAACGGATAGAATACATATATTGTACATATATAAGTATATTTATATAGAAATACATATTAAACATCCATGACTGGAGTACAAATGCTCGTATTCATCACACAAACATCTGCCCCCACCGGGATTCGAACCCGAGAGTCGGCGATACCATGAAACCCGGCGTTAAATCACTCGGCCACGGAGGTCGTCTTTTGCTTTCGGATGATTCCAAAACTATTCATAGAATCCCTTACTTTTCCCCAGACGTACTACAACAACCAGCACTGGACCGAAGACAAAGAAGTATACTGCTCAAGTCATGTCCCTAAGATTGGACCTGGCCACTTGGACAACTCGTCTGTAGGCATCCGGAGCGCCCTGAATGTGCCCAAGAGCAACAACTACGTCAACGAGCAGATCCGAGGGTTGGCCAGAAATAGCCATGACAGCGAACGTAAGTAGCTTTTCCCATTTTTTGTCATCATCATCATCAGCCTATTAATGTCCCCACTGCTGGGGCACAGGCCTTCCCGATGGATGGAATATCACAGGGCCCAACGGCTTAACGTGCCGTCCGAAGCACGGAGGAACTAGAGATAGAACTTTTTTGGTCACCCATCACACCAATGACCGACCACGGCGAAAGTTGCTTAACTTCAACGATCGCAGCCGAACGCGCTAACCACCTGCGCCATCGAGCTCCTCAGTCTGAATCCTTTTTTTTTATACTGAGCCGTTTTTAAGTTAAAAGCGTGGTAAACAAGCATATTGCCCGCTCGATGCTACGCGGATACGAAAATATCATTCACACCGTTGCCAACCCCGAGCTTAAACCCCTACACCTAGAGTGGAGTCCTGGAACGTTACTCACCGATAAAAACGTAACACCAAAAGATGGTCTTACTTAAGACTATTTTAACTAGGCCTATTTTTACTATTGTCATCTGTAAGATGAAGGTTACTTCCCCAGACGGGCGCTCTAATTCGAACGGAAAGTCCGCTATAGAGGCCTAGTACATAATTCTGACGTACCAGACTCGCAATGTACTTAATATCTTTCTCCACCTTTCCGACGTTTTAACGCAAAAGAGATTTGCTTTGAACACAATCATTCCAATTGCATTTGGAAGTTCAAGTCAAGACTAGTGAAGTGTTGGACTTCCAAAATGCCTTAATTTCTCCAAACAATATTTTTTATAATCCAACCAATTCCAAGACCGGCGGGATTATTGGTTGGTAACGCAAAATATTGGATGTATATTATACTTTGTAATACTTACTTCCACTTTATAAATAGATTTCTACACTTTTATTAGAGAAATTAACGGCCACATGTGTTAAAACACAGTAGAAGAAAGTTGCAGCATACCCTTTACTCGGTAAGCAATATTGACTCCTTCGGAAGTTGGACGGCATTCCACCGAGACTTTATTTATGTCATTCTCGTTGATAGACGCCTTGATAACGGCACGGGCTATTAAAACCCTATATAGGGCTGCCGACGGACAAAGACGGCTAAATAGTGTTGCTCCCTAGGTGGGTACACTACTTTTTATCAACCTCTATAAGAAGATAAATAAATGATACAATGTTGTCTTGATATAATATTTCTTTTCATTCTCACTACTTGAGGAAGATACCAAAAACAAATAAAATCCCAGTTTGAGTAAACATTTATGAACGAAGGCGGAATGTATTTACACGCATTTTTTTTCAAAAGCACTTTTTTGATTTGACAAGCACGTGGTTAGTTTTTATGGTTGCAACCTGTGACTTGTTCATAATAGGTTCATTATTGAGCTCTTGGGCTATTGGAACTTTTACCAGCATTTATATTTCTTATTCGAATCACTTTTAGTCCCTAGTAATTAAAACGCTAGGTCCCTGTACACAGACAGAGAACAAACTAGCTCTTTTCGAATAGATTTGATAAGAAATAGTTTTTAACAAATAATAAAAACAGACTTCAGAATTGAAAATGGAAATAATAATTATTATATAATAAGGTACTGTCATTTATTATTATACTCATTGTGTTTATGTATATATAGTATATTTTATAGCACAGTGTGACCTAAACCCGCACTTTACGCACGCTTTTCCGTGACCTAAGTTGCCTATTTCTGCACGGTGTGTAAATTAATTGACCAACTTCACTCATGTAGAAAAAATAAAAGGAAACACATTTAAATGTCATTTGGAGCTTAAAAACTCACAGCAAACAAATGACACATTAGCGATAGGTTAGGGATTTTCAGTGACAGCCAAAACAAGGAGAAACGGTTAGCTATAATTCATTCCGCGAGAATTGTATCTTTGTTTAATATATTGTTATGCCAATCAAGGAATAAACGTTCATGGATACATTGAAATTCTATTTTGTTGTAATGATATTTGATTTTTTCCTTTTGAAATATACTTTCAAAATGGTAATCTAAACCGGAATTCTTTCTTTTCAGAGTTTGACTTGCAGTCTGTATTGCAATTCTTTGTGATTGCAATACATGAATTTTACTTTCAAAACAGTAATCGCATTCCCCGAACCCCCCCTCTTGCCCGCGTCCGGGGCGGGTTTATGTCACACTTGCTATAAAATAGTATACGATACTTGTGGCCTAAGTTGTCTATTACTGCACGGCGTTTAGCACCCTCGCTCCGCTTGGGCGCTAACTTCACGCCGTGCAGTAATAGACAACTTACTACTATTCTTCCTCTCTCTTAAGCACACCTATTCCGTCAAATAATATATCAATAAGGTGCACATTACCAGTAATTCATAAAAATAAATGTAGGCTCGTGTAAAATTCTTATTTATTGTGCACCAAGTGTATGTTGACAACCCTGTTACTTACAAGAGGCGAGAATGCGAAATCACGCATATAATTACAGCAGACGACACCACCGGTGGAGCCGTGATTTACGCTAGGTGCGTAAGGTTGCGTGTTCGATTATATGTTTCGAAAGTGGGTGTTTATGATAACATCGTTAACATTTTAACATTGTTACAAAAATAAATATTGCTTTTATTTATTTATTGTTGTCAATTGACATTGAGTTGCGACGATTGGACGAGTTCAGTTTATTTTTAATTGACTTCAATAAGGAGAAGTTTTGTATGTTTGTTACGCTTTATTGCTACTCCGTTTTTAGGATTCTTCGTTTTTAGGAGGGTAAAAAAACCCTATTACCAAGACTCCGCTCTCAGTCTGTCTGTCTGTATCTCATGAACCGTCATAGCTAGACGTTTAGATTTTTTTACAGATTATGCATTTCTTTTGCCCGTTTTATCAACAAATATGAAGAAAAAACAGAATAAACGATATTTAAGGGGGCTCCCATTCAACAAACATAATTTTTGCCGTTTTTTGCTCAATATTATAGTATAATCCCTAATGTTGTTTAGATAATGGTACAAAACTCTTCGTGGGCGAGTACGACTCGCTCTTGGCCGGGTTTTTAATGATTATTTTCTTATAATTTTTTGAGCATGTAACTGTTGATGCTTAAATCTAAAGAAAACATATTACTACAAAAGTTCCACGCGGACCAGACAGCCAGACCAGTTTTTTAATATTTATACTTTATTTGTTTCTTAGATTTTCACGCACATCACTCATTAAATAAAATACGTTTCAACGGGTTGGATGCACTGATTTTAATTATTTATTGACGTTTCGCAACCTTTGCAGGAATTCGTCGTCAGAATAAAATTATATAAATTACTAGCTGACCCAGCGAACTTCGTACCGCCATTTAAATAGGGACTGGAAGGAAATACATTATAGGTATTGATAGATATTCTAGGGTAAAAATTCAGGTTTGTATGTATTTTTTAAAGACGAACCATAAAAAAATAATAAATAATGTCCAAAAAATGTAAATAAAAAATGTTAGGGTAAGAAAAATAGATAGTAGCCGATTCTCAGACCTACTGAATATGCATATAAAATTTCATAAAAATCGGTCAAGCCGTTTCGGAGGAGTATGGTAACTAACATTGTGATACGAGAATTTTATATATGTATAAGATAAGATAATTATATTAATAGAATTTATTTACTGCGAAACGTTAATAAATAAATATAATCACTGCATCTAACGCGTTGAAACTTGTTGTATTTCTAATTTACGTCAAATTTTTAGTTGTTGTATAACATTTTTATCTTATTGAAATATGAACCTACTGTTACATAATTGTACCTCTCTGTCTATGCACCCAAGGTGGTTTGTCGTTCATTACACAACCCCGTAATCAGTATTTGAACGTAACGTATAATTACTTGGTGTAATTTTGTTCAAAACTATGTTATAATGAAGATAATCATGTATAAATAAGCATTATAACCATTCCATTATATTAAATCACCTAATCATTTTTATATTTACGATATGTAACTTATTATAACACAAGGTTATGCAGTTTGATTGTAGACTTAAAGAATAGACTTAATGTTCTCATCCCAACTGTAAATGAAGGCAGTTGTTTCACCACATGCGAGGAAGCGACTACTTATCGGCTATTTTCTCGTCAAGAAACGTACAACAGATATATAAATATTCCGTGTAAGCAAAAGCGATGCATATAATTCATAGTTGATCGCTGATTGTTCGCGCCCCACTAGTTTGTCGCTGAACGACAAGAGCTGGTTCCGATAATACTCGCTAAGCGATACCTGCTTAGCGTATCACTTGGCCGTCAGTAAGCTTTTTGTTCAGTGTTGCTGCCTTCGTGAGCGAGTGGCGCGAATAATTGCGAGTCGTACTCGCTAGACATGGGCGTTTTTGGTTTTGAACGCAAACGGATATTTATCGGATTTCAGATTTCAAAATCGATTTTAAAATCCGTTTTTAGATATCCGATTTCAGATGTGCCGAACTTAGCCAATTCACTAGTTTGTGTTATGATTTGGTTTTATTAGCTAACGACAATCACAAACAATTAATTGTAGGAAGCAAGGATACTCGTAGATTTTCGCGATTTTCCTTCATGCTTTAAATCTAGGCTTAGGACTAGCAGAAAAGTTATGTTTAGGGTTAAGAGTAAAACTTTTGCGGCGCATTTAAAAATCGGCTTTTATACAATGATTTCTTTTTTATTATTTTTTTAGTATTATTTTTTTGTTTTTCTGTTTGTTTTTATTATTTTTCAAACCATTTACAAAATCAAACCTAATTACTTCAGGTTAGCGTCCAAAAATGTAAGGTGCTCGACTTTTGATGTTTTTAGACGACATATCTTTTCAGTGATAAATAATCCCGCCTCAGAGAAGAGCAATAGATTTCCGTAAACAGCAAATCGAAATCGGACTTCCGAGCACGAAATCTGACTTCTGAAAACGAAAGCACGAATTTCGAATCCGATTTACATTTGGATACTTGTGGTATTAGATCGCTAGCGTTTTGGTTCGGTTAGATTTCTGAAATCGGATTTTCTTGTTGAGAAATCGTTCGGTA